TGAGTCATTTATTTCTGTATCCCCAGCGGTTGCAGAACTGAACAAGTTTGATGAAGGGGGCTAGAGATGTTGAAATCTTCTTTTTGAAATAAAATAGAGGGCTTGTAGTGTGTTTGTAGAACCCCTGTGAACGTTTTTAAGGCTACTCCACTCAGAAATTCAAATAAAAATGTTTCAAATCACATTCAATTACATTTTTATATCTAAATTCTTAAATATGATAATGTATCAATTTTATTTTCTTAACTCAAGCTGGAAAAATAATTGTTACCCATTTTATTGTTTTCTTAGTCTACACCTTTGCACATTTTATCTTCCCTAGGCATCATGCAATACTATATTATGCCTAATCTTTATAGCTACCCCTGAGAGTCCTTTTCCTTATAAAGGAATAGCAACAACAACAAAATACAGCTTAAAATAACTTTCAAAAAGACCTCGAGAACAACAGTGTAACTGCATGTTTGCAATAATATACTTAAATTACTTATTGTTGGCTTTGACATTTATTCACATTATGGTGCTAAAGTGATTTATGCATGTAGGTAGATTATGCATTCTTTTGAAAAACATAGCTTTATTTCTTTTGTAGTATCTTCTAATTTGCTACTCATATCAAGGGTAGATAGTTATTTATGATCCACTTACCAACTTATACAGAGTAAAAGACTATTTGCTGGTGATTTGATTAGGTGGCATTTGGGAATGCTGGGTTGTGAAAGCAGGCTCATTGAGGGTAGTCTGTTAATTAAAGAGGGCCTGGCATATGGGTTAGCTGACAAGACAGGTAGGCGATAGGTCTTAAAATGAAGTGGCAATTAGAAAGGAAAAAAGAAAGATTAGGGTTAGTAAATTATTTAAGAGGAGAAGCCAATGATAGTTTGGGTTGGAAGCAAGTGAAATAGGTGTTACAAGTTTATACCTACCAAATGAGCCTAGTGAACTCAAAATAAATTCATTCAGTTAAGAATTATAATAATCAGATTTATGATATTGAAAAGACATTCTAAAACCAATCACATCATCAAGAGTACTACAATTGTAACTTATATATACCAGCAAACAATGTCCCAAAATATAAGGAGCAAACACTGACAAACCCGAACACAGAAATAGACCTTTCTACAATAATAGTTGGAGATTTAAACTATTTTCAACAATGTATAGAACTGACTTTAGATAAACAAAAAAATAGAGAATACTAGAAATAATTGTACACCAACAAACTAGATAGCTTAGATGAAACTGACAAGTCTTTAGACTCACTCAAATTACTTAAAGTCAACAGAAAATAGAAAATCTCAACAGATAATAAAGGAATTAATAAGCCAAAAGTCCCCCAAAAAGAAAACAGATGGGTTCACTGGCAAATTCTATTGAACACTAAAGAACTCATACAGTTCTTTTAAAGCTCTTCAGAAAAAAATGTGAGGAGGAAACACTTCCTAATAATCCTAAGAGACCAGCAGTACCTAATACTAGAGCTAGATAAAACCATCAAAGAAAATAAAACTATACACCAATATCTATTGTGTATTCTTAACAACACGTGATAAAAACAAATGCAATATCATATTAGAAAGATTATACACCAGGATCATGTGGGATTTATCACAGAAATGAAGAAATTCAAATATTGTAATATACTATAGTAATAAAAATAAGTTTTAAAAACAAATAAATCACACATTATCTTCATAATTGACATAAAAATGCATTTGAAAAAAAATCAAAAGCTTTTCATGAAAAAAAAAACCCAGAAAATTAGGAACATAAGGAAACTCAACAAAATAACACCCAATTTTAAAAAATCTACAGCCTCCATATTGAAAAATTAAAAACTTTTCTCTAAGATCAAAAAGAAGACAAGGAAACCTATTTTCACCACTGCCATTTAATATTCTACTGGAATTTCTAGCCAGAGTAATTAGACAAGAAAAGGAAAAAAAAGCAACCAAGAATGAAAATAAGTAAACTATCTCTATTCACACATGGCATGATTTTACATGTAGAACTCCCAAAAAAGCTACTAGAACTAATAATTTAAACCAAGTTGCAAGATATAAGGTTAACACCCAGAAATCAGGTGTCTTTTGAAATATGGCTAGAATAAAGTATCCACCCAAGAAACTAAAAAAGCAATTCCAATTATAATAGAATCTAAAAAAAAATAACCTAGTAATAAATTTATCCAAGGAAGTGAAAGACTAGTGCACTGAAAACTAGAAAGCATTGTGGAAAGAAATTACAGAGACACAAGTAAATGGAAAGACATGCTGTGTTCATGGATTGAAAAACTTAATATTGTGACAATGTCAATACTACAGGATTGATGCAATCCCTGTCAAAATGCCAACTACTATTTTGCAGTTGGAAGGGGTTCAGACTAGCCAAACCATCAAGAATAATGTTGGAGGATTCACACTTCCTGGTTCTAAAACTTACAAAGCTATAGTAACCAAAATACTGTAGTATTTACATAAAAATAGACATAGAGACCAATGGGATAAAATATAGAATCTAGAAATAAACCCATATAGCTATAGCTAACTATGTTTTACAAACTGTCAAATCTATTCAATGGGGAAATAATAGTTTTCAACATATGGTGTTGGGACAACTGGATTTTCACATCAAAATGAATAAATTTTGAGTTTTACCTCAAATCATATACAAAAGTCTATTCAAAATGGATCCATAACTTAAATATAAGACCTAAAACTATAAAACTTTTAAGTGAAAACATAGGGGCAAATCTTGATGACAATGGATTGGGCAATAATATTCTTAGATATAATGCTAAAAGAAAAAACTAAAAATAAAATTACACAGTTGGACTTTATAAAAATTAACCATTTTTTTCATCAAAGTATAATATCAAGAAAGAGAAAAAGTAGTCTACAGAATTGGAGAAAATACTTGCAAATGATATATATGAGAGATTTTAATATCTAGAATATATAGAGAACACAAACTTAACAAAAGACAATCCAATTTAAAAATGGGTAAGGACTCGAATTAACATTTCTCCAAAGGAGATATACAAAAGGCCAATTAGTACATGAAAAGAAGATCAATATCATTAGTGATTAAGAAGCTGCAAATCAATACCACAATGAGATAATTCATACCTACTAGGATGAGTATTAAAAAAAATCACACATGTGGTCTAATGCGAACCCTTGCACACTTAACACTGAGTGAATGTAGAATGTTGTAGCCACAGTGAGAAACAGTTTGACAGTTCCTCAAAATGCTCAACAGAAGAAATGCCACATGAACCAGGAATTCCACTGCTAGGTCTATAGCCAAAAAATTGAAAACCGAAACAAATATATATACCTGTATAACAATGTTCACTTTAGCTTTATTTGCTTGCTGTGCCTACAAGGTCGAGACAACTCATGTCATTAAAGGATGAATGAATAAATATAATGTGCCATATGCATGCAATGGAATAGTATTCATCTATAAAAAGAAATAATAAAGCTCTCATACATGCTTCAATACGGATGAACCTTGGACTATTATGGTAAACGGCATAAACCAGATACAAAAAGACAAACATTTTATGATTCCACTTACATAAACTATTGTTCACTTTGCCCCCTTGTCACCATAAACATGTATTCACGCATATACACATTTACACATATGTAAACAGGATGGCTCAAGGGCATTAGAGTTGTCAAGAAACAGAACGAAGACAGTTGCCCAAGGTCACAAATTAACTAGAACAGTTCAACTCAAACCCTTTATTTCTGTTTCAGTCATGCATTGTGTGTATCTCAGAATGTGTATGTTGCGTGTGCGCATATGTTTGAATTGCTGTCTAGTGTTGTTGGCTCCTGAGCACAAATTCTAAGTGCCATCTAATGAAAGGCATTCTGTAAACTCTCTTTGGGTGGCTGAATATTTATAATAGTCTAAGAGGTGTGCAATGGTGAACATATTAATCTAAATTTCTTAAAAGACAATGATTTCTGGCTTTTTTGGTTTTAACTAATTAAAAATTGTAAATTACATATTACTTTTAATAATTGATAACTACAAGAATTTTCAAGTAACAAACAAAATCTCTGTTTTAAATATTCGTGCTTCAATTGTTAATAACAATGCTACTAATATTTTTAATTGAATTTCCTGCTTCTACCATGTGCAGTGATTAATTTGAGTGCGTTTACAAATTTTACAATATATTTTTTCTCTTAAACCATGGAAGTGAAGGGTGGATATGGACAAATTCACTTAGCTGTAGAATTTGAACTCAGGCCTGTTTGACACCAGGACCAGCTCTTAAATGCTAGGCTTGGATAATGCTTAAATATGACTATATCAACATTTATTAACCATCAAAGATATTTTACTCCCATTTATGCTGGTGTTAAATCAGATGTACATTCTTTATTTAGCCTTGAATTATGCAAAATTGGAGAAATGGGCACTTAAAATGAAACATAAGGCTTAAAATTATTAAAATATCATTGCTTTGGTTTTCCAGAAAAGCAATGAATAAATTTGTATTAATTACAATATGCCTACCTTGATGCTTTCTGAAGTTCCATTAGGAAAAGAAATTCCTCATCACTTTCTGTCTTATACTGAGGCATAAAATTTCTGTAATGGTGTTTAAACAGCTGCACTGCTCTCCCATCGATGTGGGTGGACTTCAGTCATGGAAGAAATAGTTCCAGTATCATACAGCAATTTGTTATCCCTTAAGATTTTTGCACTACATAAATGTAAAATATTATTATTAGCTCTTGCAATCATCATTTCACCATTCATACCTGAAGCAAGTGATAGTTCCACAAATCAGGCAATGTACAAATTCTGTCATAGTAAAACATTTATTTGTTAAAGTGATATAGATTATTCAAGATTCTACAGTCTTAAATCATGGATGGCAATGTAACATGGGTTGATACAGAACTCGATGTCAATGAAGGCTTTTTTTCTTTTGTTCTTTAAAAAAAATACTGTAGGCCAGAAGAAAAAACAATTTGGTTTTAAAAGGGGATGAAATGTGAGCCAGTTCCACCAACATCAGAGACTTCTGTTTATGGTCCTGTGGACAATTTCTTCTAGGACACCAGTTCAACAATTAGCCATTGTGAATTGAAACATATTTGAGTTTTATCCATTAAAAATATCAGTGGCAACTTTTTTCAGGAGAGAGAGAAGTGGTGCTCTTCAGATTAACTCCAGCCTCTGAAATGAAAGGGGGGAAAAAAGAAAAAAAGAAAAGAAAGATATAGCTTATAAGATCATTGTGCTAGAAATCTGGAAGTTGCTGAATGGTAAGCATTCAGGCAGGAGCTGAGCTTCCTGCTATAAAATACAAAACACACCTCTGAAAGCAGCCTAGACATGCACATTAGCACTTAAGATATGGCTTAGCAATTTCAAATTGGTAGATATATAAAAGAATTTTATTTTAAAAAGAATCTAAATATATTTAGCCTAAATAGTTATGCAAGTCAAAGCCAAATTGTGAAATGGAATTTTTTCCTGCTTTGGTGTTTCACAATTACATTCTCAAGATAAGAAATAAAATGACTTTATTTCTTAATGCATAGCATCTAAGTTTTAATAAATACTCATACTGGTTTTTAAAGTATGAATATTAGATCAACTTGTTCTCACATGTAAAACCTAAGTGATCTCCACTTTTTAAATACATTCTGCTGCGAGTTTTGTATAATATTTCAATCTTATAAAATTTAATTATACATTTAACAGTAGTGAAGACAATTATTCATCTTCAATAATTAGTTTGTCACCAACCAAATAAAAGTAAAAACTAATAACAGCTCACAAGAAAAACATTTGATAATTAACATGATTTTGAAAAGAATAATATAAAAAGCATTATAAAAATATCTAAATATATTAATGTATCACATATATTAGATACTTCTGTAATTAAATGAGAATAAATTATAAATGTTTTCTCTCTAATATGTTCTGAGTCATGAGTTATATGTCTATTAAGTCTATGCTTCATGAAGATGGAAAAAATTTTTGACAACTATACAACTTCATGCATATGAAATATAAGTAATTATCCTTTGCATTCAAAACCAACTACATATTTACAATTTAAAGGTTATAAAATGAATAGCACAAATGACTCATGAAATATAGATTCTTACTTAACTGAATATTCTTCATTTAAGTAAGAACCTATTTGGATAACTTGGTGATAAAATCATTAAAGTATATTATGATAATATAAATTATTTTTTGATAAATGTAAGCAAAATATTGAAATGTTTAAAAATATATTTTTAAAACTTAATAATATAAATGTGATATTATTTTTGGCACAAACAGTAATTTTTTAGAATTATTGAGCAAGATATTTACACAATGTTTGAATATTGTTAATAAATAACAGATGTGTATCCTATTTGTAAAAAAAACAGAGTTACCTGGAAACAACTGAAATACAGATATCACTATCATATTTTACTTGGAATAGTCTTTAAAAATTGCAAAATTGCTAAATTACAATGAGATATATCTAAATTCCTCTTTAATGGGTTTATAGCATAGCTTATTCTGATGAAATTAAATATCAAGAAGTTTTTTAATACCTAATAATATGTTCACTTTAGTAGGAAAAATATATAATTGCATTATACCAAAATTACAGGAAGTAGTAATGTTGAAAACACTAAATAAACACAGAAGAAAAATATAGTGAATAGCATAATTAGACTTTTGAAGTAAATTCTTCCAGAATAACAAACTTTATTTTAATATCAAATTGATGATTCTATGAGATTATGAGATGTCATATCTTAAGGAGCTTTCAGTATTATATAGTTTTACATTTTATGATATTAACAAACTTTAGAATTATTATTTATATAAAAGCTGTTAATTTTGAAAATTAAGGTATAACAGTTTTGTATATTATGGCATAAATTTGTCTGCCCCAAAGCTACTACTGTTATCGAAATGATGACCTAATATAAAGCCTAATAAAAACTTGTATATGTAGAATATTTCAAATAACATGTTTTACTTTATTTACCAATAGACAAACTCTTACAATGATTCTATAAAGAACAAGGAACTCAAAATTATAACAGCATCACAAAGAAATAAACAAAAGGCTGTGACAATTATGCCAAAATTTACAAGAACTAAAAGCTATAAATTTGGGGTATGTTCAGGATGTTTTGGTAATGGTCTTCACAAAACAGTTAAAGGGTATAATGCAAAACACTGGATAGTCCTATTAAAAGTTCTAAAGTTATACAAAGAAAGGAACAAATTAAAGATACCACAACGTTAAGAGAAGGAAAAATGTCCTGATGTTAAATGGACTGTGGGAAAATGCTGTTGTTGCCCTTACCCATAATGTAATTAAGAACTATGAAAGAGTCTTAGCAGGGTAGTGGAGCTGGTCAGAGTGTTGTCCCTACACCAAGATGTTGCAAGTTCCATCCCCAGTTGGGGTGCGCACAGGAGGCAACAGATCCATGTTTCTTTGTCACATTTTCTCTCTCTCCCTTCCTTTCTTTCTAGAATAAACATGTCTTCAAGGGAAAAAGTTTTTTAAAGAGCTATAAAAATTTTTCTTTTTTTAAATCCCTACCTGAGGACCTTTTTTCATAGCTTTTAGAGAGAGAGTGGAAGGGAGAGAAACATCGATGTGAGAGAGAGATATGTGTTGCCTCAGACTGGGACCTGAACACACAACCTTTCCATTATAGAAGATGTTCCAACCAACTGAGTCACACCAGCCAAGGCTGAAAGATTTTTATCTTATATAATTAGAAGACATAGATCAATGGAACAGAATAAACCCATGCCTTTATGTTCAATTGATATTTGACAAAGGTGATGAAAGCTGACAATGGAGCAAAGATAAACTCTTCAATAAATGGTGGGAAAACTGGACTGGTACAAGCAAAAAAGAAAAAAGAAAAAGAAAAGAAACTAGACCACCAACTTATACCATACAAAAGAATAAATTCAAAATGGATAGAAGATTTAAATGTAAACCACCAAACCATACAAATCCTAGAAGAAAACATAGGCAGTAAAATCTCAGATATCTCAAGTAGCAATATTTTTGCTGCTGTATCTCCTAAAGCACTGGAAACAAAGGAGGAAATAAACAAATGGGACTACATCAAATTAAAAATCTTCTGCACAGCGAAAGAAACCATCACTTAAATGAAATAGGAATCCACTGTATGGGAGAATATATTTGCCAGTGATACATCTGAAAGGATTTAATCTCCAAAAACTGAAAACAATTAATACAACTCAACACCAGGAAGACAAACAACCCAATTAAGAAATGAGCAAAAGACCTGATTAGACACTTTTTTGAAGAGGGCACATAGATGGCCCGTAAACATATGAAAAAATGTTCAGCTTCACTAATCATCAGAGAAATGAACATTAAAACAACAATGAGATATTACCTTAAAATTGTCAGAATGCCCATCATCAATAAATCAACAAGAAACAAGTGTTGGCAAGGATGTAGAGAAAAAAGAACCCTAGTGCACTATTGATGTTAATATAGACCGGTACAGCCACTGTGGAGAATATGGAGTATCCTCAAAAAATCAAAAATTGAAATCTCTTTTGACCTAGTGATTCCACTTCTGTGAATACATCCTAAGGATCCCAAAACATCAATACAAAAAGAAAAAATGCACCTCTATGTTCATACCAGTGTTCCTTACAATAGCCAAGACCTGGAAACTTCCTAAGTGCTCTCTGGTAGGTGAGTGGATAAAAAAGCTGTGGTACATTTACACAAATGAATACTATGCATCAGTAAAAAAGAAGAACTCTTAGATATTGTGACAGGATGAATGGTCCTGGAAAATATTATGCTAAGTGAAATAAGCCGGTCAGTGAAAGGCAAATAGCACATACTCTTACTTACATGTGGAATCCAATGAGCACAATAAACTAATGAACAAAATAGAAACAGAAGCTTCGATACATGAAACAGACTGAGAGCTTGCTGGAGGAGGCACTGGAGACAGAATGAAAGGTGGTGAAGGAATTATCAAAAGAACATTTATATATGACCCATGGACACAGGCAAAAATATAGGGAGGGGAGAGGGGAGAGGTGGGTAGAGGTGGGGACAGCAAGAAAAGTGAGAATTTTAATAGCATAAACAATTGAAAATAAAAATAAAATAAAATAAATACAAAACTCAAAAAAGACTATCTAAAAAAGAAGGAAATGATTTCTAAAGGTCAGGACTGACATTAGGGTTTTTTTTTTTCTGATTTTCTGTAATGTTCAAACAAATATGTTAAAAGTATGCTTTAATTATTATTATTATTATTTTTTAAAAGAGATTTTATTTATTTTTAGACAGTGGAAAGGAGGAAGAAAGGGAGAGAAACATCGATGTGTGGATGCCTCTCGCGCGCCCCCTACTGGGGACCTGGCTTGCAACCCAGGCATGTGCCCTGACTGGGAATCGAACCAGGAACCCTTTGGTTCACAGGAGGAGGTGCTCAATCCACTGAGCCACACCAGCCAGGGCTGCTTTAATTATTATAAAAATGTTTTCTACATATGGGCCTATTTTATTAGTCTTATTTTTAAAAAATTCACTTGAAGGGAATATCATTTAAAACAACCACAGAGCCAAATATTTTATGTAGGTCATCCTTCCTTAGGGGGGGAAAAAAACATTGGAGAGATATGTGGATCATATGAATTCATTTCCTTTACTGTTTAGCGCTTACTTCATATATTTTCCTGTGTTTCCCCATAGTAATTTAATGTTGCTATTTATAATCAACATTGCTTTTTATTCATTTATCTATTATTAGTATCTCTAAAAGAACTGCACTTCTTTCATGGTTATTGCATCTTTAGCAGTTTTTCTGACGAAATGTAAAAAAATTAAATACCTTGATTTGTGCTAAAAAAAATTCAGAAATCAAATTTATTAAGATCAGGAATCAATTATTTTAAAGGCAGATGTAAGCAACCACAGAATAAGCAATTTTTCATGTGAATGCTTAAACACACACGCATAATGTACACATATTTTTTTGGTCTGAATACAGAACACACTTTTAAAGAAATCTTACTTAAGGTATTTTCAGTATAAATACAAACTAGTCAACTGTTCATATTTAAATTGCCAGACGTAACGTATCAATTGTTTTACCAGGTTCATTTTAAGCATAAAAATCTTTCAAAAGATA